AAGCGACTATAAATAGTGTCAGTTCACGGCAATATATTGAACAGATCATGTTTCGTACTTTTAGCTTATGGGCTATCAATAAAAACTATGACAGAGTACAGTAATTTACTGTATACTAATTATTCCGTTGTTACAAATATTATCGTGAATTGTACAACTGATTGCTCAGTGAATTTATTTATTTCAACACAAAAATATTGGTACAAAGGGGTACCGAATACATATACGCCACACAACTCACTTGATTTGTGTGTGGGTTACGATACTGCTCGGGTGCCCAAACCCAGAGCCTTCTACCTCAAGGTCTGATCCACAAGGCAGTGGAGCGACGTCAGGAGATGCAGTCCCATGGTAGCCGGTGACCAAAGATTGGTTCATACGCCATTTGTCCTATCACGATACTGGAGCCCATGTGCACCATTGGTTTGGGATCAGGGCTTTGCAACTCCTTTAGGTGGACTCTCCGTATCCACCGACCCGGTTAAAGCGCCTGACGTTCGGTTTTCGTCCTCTCAATTTCGTAATCAACACCCCGCCACTGGAGGGCAGTGAATAGTGACGAATGTCTAGCTCTTTAGTCCAGCCTATATAATTTAGTGATGACGTACCAGACTACGAAGTTGGTTGATGTGAGATAGTTACGTGAAGTATCAGTTCCCTCAATACCGTACAGTTAAGCATCTTGCTGACGAGTGGCAGCAAACTAGCATGAAGCCCAGGTTATGCAGAGCTTCCTACCGTGTACTTAGACACATTCAGAGTTTAATTTGCCCATAGTTGTGATTGACTGATTATAGTAAATTATATTTCATCATATTTATTGTTTAGTAGTATATAATATTACAGCTAAAAACTAAATGATAACATTCTTCACATTATCAAAAGAAAACACAAAAGACTACCTGTTCACCTGCAGATACTGAACGTTCCAAATATAATTCCAATGATAACTGTGTTTTAGACAATGATAAAACGGTTGGTACATTCTGATCATGATTTAAAAAATCGAAAAATGGTATCAAAGCGACTGTCTGGCTATTCTCCGCATTCATAAACATTGAAACAACTTCAGAATCGTTACAAAAGCTCAAATCTTTTAAATCAAAACTGATCAGTAGATTATAAAGATGTTGAACCTCTGATAAAGATTCTTTGAAAGGACATGAAACACAACGTGAATTCACTGTACACCAAGCCCATAGAAATTCTTTTGGCGGAATGCTATAACCTTTATAATGCAAACCTTTTGTACAATCATTGTTATTAGTAAAAATTGGTTTTATGTAATACCACGATCTTAACAGCCGTGTTAGCAAACGTTGTAATTTAATATTTACATCATTTGAATGAAAATAGTGCGAAGCGTTGACTGTCAATATTCTCTCAAATAAACAGTCAGTATCAAATAAGATACAAGATAATGGATCCAAATAAACTTCAGGCAGAACAGATAGATAAGGTGCCCAAATTTTCTTAGGATGCATTTGGTTGAAGTTGAGCATTTACAATGATAAATAAAAGCTATAAGAGTATCAAGAGAGTTTAAATTAGCTTGATAACGTTTGGAATGTTCAAAACATGGACAATGATTAAGTAGATAAGCACATCGTAACGGTGTAAGAATTAAGCGTAAATCATTTAATGGTACAGAATAACAGCATTGTTTTGCTTTTATTTCACAACAAGCAATTAGACCACGTTGGCCAAATTTTAAGTTGTTTGAAATTTTCAATAAACTTCTTCCAGGATATGCAGTGTGCAGGCTGGATGATGTAGTTAGCCAGTCATCAAATTCTTTCAGAGAACGATCTTCATTTAACTTGTGATTCACCATGAACTAAAATTGATTAACATAATGACAGTAATAGTGGTAAGGTGAGTGCCAACCAAAATGAAACGGAACCGATCTATAACCTTTGGACTTTTATATCATTTGGCATATACACAACGTAAATAGTCATTATTCATCTGTTATTTTAAACAGTAAGCATTTGTGAGATCATTTAAGCTAATGAATTTATTTTCTTTTGGGGAGGATACGATTGGTTTAAAAAATGGTTCTTTACAAACGTTTATCGTACCAATGTGACATATATTTTAGGTGGACTGATACAACTATCTGAAACTTGCTTGATTAAAAATTGCACAGAAGTTTAAACAGTCCGTTGAATTGATACTTCAGAATAAATTGAGCATTGGGTAGATTGTTATAAATAAATAATATATTTGTAATATCCAAATGAGTAGAAAAATTAGTTTTTCTGATGTTTCGTGACTCAACGTAAGCCACTTCTTCAGAGAATAAATAACCAAATCAAAATTGATCTAATTTTTTACTCATTGGGAAATCACAAATATATTATTTATTTATAGTCTGTTGAATTACTTATTGGGTTTATTTTTCAACAAATTCAATTAGTTGATAAATAGGACATATTGAGTTGCGATTTTTCAAATAGACAGGTATACTCAACACAGGATATATATATATATATTGCATACTATTGAACACTTGATCTGACTCATGAAAATTGGTAAATCATGTGAAATATTTTTGGCTTTTTGGACTCTAGTCGCTTTCATGTTGCATATATTCGAATATTTAGCTGATTGCTTGAAAACACCATATACTCCACTGACTGCATACGTATACTTGTACCTGTCTCTTTCGAATCATCTGTTATTGCGCCCATATGGCCGCTTCTTTCTAGTTTCGTTGGTTGCCTGAAGTGTACGTCCCTATAAACTTCTGTGACTCTTGATTTTACACCATCTGGTTCAAAGTGATTTGCGTTCGGGTCATTAAACGTTGCATCTCCGAGATTTAGATCAGAATCTAAAGGCTTAGCTGCACAATATGCATGTATCGGTCGGACTGGAGTAAGATGTTTAAATTTTAGATACTAAATCCTAGGTTAGGACCCGCCCCACATATTTCAGTCTGATGAAACACAGTTTTACTAGCCCTCATACGTAAATTGAGTCGAAGCAAAGTACGTAGAGCAGTGCTTTGTAGAGTCAATGATAATAATAATTTGGCTAAAGTTATGAAACTCTTCACACAACTACAGAGAAAGAAGACAGTAACAAAATACTAATAAGGGTAGCCGTAACGCTACTTCCAGTAGTCAATAGTAAGAATTAGTAGAATCGAGAAATGAATGAAACTGGATTGCGAAAGTTATGGAGGGTATGGTAATGCCAACGATCTTAAGCTATTTTACCACGATCATCAACGTGAACCTCATAAAGAAACTATGGATCCTACGGTACCACCACCCCCTTAGATTACTAACCAACAACTTTAAGTACTGATGCCAAGTTTCAATTTGATCATATAGCTTTTTTCCGACATATTCTTATATTACCCAGTTTAATTTATCAGAGTAAATGGTAGACATGTAATAAACCTTAGCCAACTGAGTCTATAAAAGTTCACAACCCAGTCCACCAAATCACTACTTTAACTAGCAGTCTTCACTTCACATTTCATCTTTCGCATACTAATGTGCGTACAGTTGGGAAATATCTATGGCTAAACGCTAGGAACTTATGTATGTTTTCCAATTTTAGAGTACATTTTTCATAGCTACAAAATAATACGGAACAGACTTCTCTGAATTAAATTCACTTTCTAAGAGGTATATACGTATATCCCCTGTACTTTGAGTATTGTCAGTTGGTAAAGATCGATTCAGCTTTCGTATCCGTATCGACACTATTAACTGTCAACCTAACCTAAAACGATGACTCTTTGGGTAAGTGAATTAGCTTATACAGTTATTTCATTTATATGTTGCAATAGGCATCAATGAAAACCAAATCTGAAACAACTGTTTGGGCTTAATTTTAGAGGAACGAGTACTAATCAGTACTGTTACTTAGTTTGTCTGGAAGACTGTATTTTTCAACAGTTACTCAGCAAAATTATATTGTTTGTACACTAAAAGTCAATAAGAATTCTTCTAGTCAGATCAAGACCTGAATTTAAAAAAATAGTCGGTCTTAAAGGCATATAGCAGAGGTATATAAGACTAGAATAGGTAGTATTGAAGTAAATAACTTAATGTAGCCAATTCAGTTATTTTTGAACTGAACTCCAATCACAAGTATTTGAGTAAATAGCATCTACTAGGATGATTTACTTCATGACGACGGTTTTCTTAGGTTTGTTCTTGTTCAGCTTAAGTTAATTGATAGATGTCTTTTGAAAAAATTTCGCTAGGCGTTAAATAGAGAAGCATAAGCACTACTTAACCTATATTCATTGCTGATCGTTAGGAAATTGAAATCCAAATCTGATCTACTGAAGAGTTAGAAAATCATTAGTTATGAAGTGGATTAATTACAAGTGTTGTGGTTTAATTCTTACTACTCATTAAAATAGCGCTAGTCAAGTAATTCTATATTCCTAATAATCTGACAATGCACATGCGAAGCCTGAATATCTTTTCAATATACATCTCCACTAAGTGAATGCTAACTAAAGGCTCACATTCTGGACATTGGATAAAAGATGTAAATACGTATAATTCTAGTTAGGAATTTCTAAACTTGTGGATCCTACTGAGTATTATATATTATATTGTAAATTAGTACTTTTTACCAAAACAGATTTATGTTGTTCTTTCGAATCAACAAATTTCATACGTTGATATATACATATTCAGACTTACACATCATTTTTTATGTTCTCTTTCAGATGGTTGGTTAAAATAATTGGGCTTAAGTTAATGGATGAATTGAAATATCGTTTGAGATTTAAACCGAATAACATTTCAATAAACCTAACATTATCACTTACTAATAAATGTTTTAACTGTCATAACATGAAGCATATTGTAGAACTATGTTTCGCAATAATAGTTAGACATCGACCAGTACTGAACAAACCGTTTTTCAGACACAGCAATTGACGTTAAAAATATTCAGATATTTAGAAGTTTGAATTAGCAAATTTGGGTAAGTAATTTGTGAGTTCACTTAGTTAAAAGGTCATATAACAATAAGTTCTAAAAATAAAATTCTAAATTAAATTTTGAAACTACAGATTTATAAATCATCTGACTTTATTTCTAGTTAAACATATTAGAGAGATATCAATAAGTATCTTGACAGTTTGCTGAGAACTACACGAATTGATGTTGCATTAGAATATATTTAATGCAGCCTCGTAACTCTTCCCGTCGTAATAACTTCTAAAGACCATATGAACCATATATACGTAGTTCATAAAAGTAATGTCTTCGAGATATGTTTAAATATCTTAATCCCTATCCACATAAAAAATTTCGTATTTCTTCATTTGAAAAAAACAACAGAATAGCCAATGCTTGAATTATATACAGTAGGTTATTTTAAGTGTCGTCCAGAATACTAGAACACAGTAGATGATTGTTTTTGTTACATAGTAAAAAAAATAATTATCAACCGTAAGCATTTGAAGTAACTCGGCTGACTAGTAACAACTGTCACGGTATTTTTAAGAACAAGTTCCAAGTTTAAAAATACATTTCATAAACAAATAAGTGTTGCACGTAAATTAGTTACGATTTAAACAGCTCGCATCACAGTCATTCGATATTTGCAGTAAATCTCAGTCACATTAATGCGCGTTTAGACATGAATAAAATGTTATTTAAAAGGCATTAAAAAAAAGCTACCACATAAACCTTTGATACACACCAGGTTCACTTGGCCATTCAAACGGCTTAAAGATGAAGAGATATGCTGTAATAAACACAATCAATAAATTCCACAAAACTTCACATAGCAAATACTTATAATGAGTATGTGAAAAGGAGAAGATGCGCCATAATACAAATGGGATCAAGAAATATCGTAATTCGAGTAAACCAGAAGCAATTACAACAATGAAAGTGCACACTAACAAAACTAAGCGTTCTATAAAAGGACCGAATGGTATGTTTCGATAAGAAAAGAACAAGGTGTTCACAAAGTACGCTGTCGCTACCAGGTAAAAAACAGACAGACCATAATACGTGGAAACATTTCTATATATGATTTTTCGCCAGATATAAAAAGTATAATGCCTATTGTCAGAAATCAAATAAGGATGAATAAAAAGACAATACTTCAAAGATAATATAATTAGGACAAAAAGTAGTGTGAGCAGAAGAAATATACTCAATATCCTCCAACTTCGATTAACAAGCAAGTTTTTAAGTGATTTTATGCTATCTACTATGAAACCCACAAACTGAATAGGAGTAGAAAGTGCACAAAAAGTAGCAAAGTAAAAAAATTGAGGGATGTTCAAAACTGCAGTATGTGCTTCTCTATCACCCAAAACAATACCTTTATTTATAATAACAAAAGATATGAACGAAACTAAAACTAGGACAAAAGGTAAACACGGTCGGAAGACACTTTTCAGCATAACAAGTATGACAGAAAGTGGATGTGTAATGAACATGTACAGTAATCTTTTGATCCACATGGTTGAGGGACATCGGTCATGTCCGAACATATTTTGTGATAGGCTCCCGGAAGTGTGGATGCACATAAGAAGAGGAACCCATATAATATTTGATTGGCGTGTGAAGACAGCATAGGAGACAAACAGAGCACTTAACCAGTCGCGATGTAATAAACTAAAGTAGACAGACGCCATGACGAATAAAATCGAGCAATGATCAGTGTAGTAGAAAGCAGAGAAAAAGAGGAATAATGGTTCTGATGCAATAGTGATGGCTAGAATATTAGGAGAGTTGCATTTCATGATTTTAACGAGCCTAAGTATAATTATATGATTAATTATACTGAACAGAACACTCGAAAACCTAAAATGAACTGCAGTAGGTTCAGGTGGAAGTACACCTAATGAACTCAAAACTCTGTGAGCGGACACATAAGCCACATAAAGACCGGGAGGTGTGGTGATCTTGCTGTCCCAGAACTTCCAGTTTCCTTGAATATATTTTAATGTTTGGCGAACATGAAAAACTTCATCCATGTAAGGATCGTGTTGGTATCTAGAGAATACATAAGTCAAGACACATGATATAGCAGCAGTGAATGTTATAAGCATCCAAGAAACTATGTTGTTGCAACTCATTTTCTGATACTTGGCTGATATTTGTGGCCTGCAATTGTGAGATATGATGACGCCTGTATGTATGTACGTATCGTCAGTCCACAATTAGTGAACAGAGCAAACGTATGTGGTGAAACACAAAACCGGTGAACACTAGTAAATGACGGTGTTAAACTACGGCGAGTCTGTAATAGGACCTTGACATTGACAACACAAATTCAAAAGACACTTACTTGTTACGTCAAGGTTAAAGCGACCTTGAAATTCAATATCTATGTCGTTCATGAATAAGAACAGCAGGCTGACTGACTTTTGCGGATTCTCTCGATACACATTCCTTCAAGCCTCCAGTTACCCCATGAAATTTCTCTTCATAAAGATCGCTGTTACTTGTTTGTATGTGGTGTTAAAACCCCTGACAACTGAGGGAAAAATGGTGTAGCGGTAAATAAATCCCCAAAATAAATAGCTCTGTAAGTTTTCGACATTGGATGCTGAGCATATGTTTTAGTTGACTCATCTAGCTGAAGGCGCTCGGTCATGCATCCGCACCGGATCACGTGTGGTAATGCTGTGCTCAACATCTACCGCAATCGCTAGCCAGATTAGATCAGAGAATTCCGATATATTGGTAATCGCCAAATACACTCTTCCTATCTCCTCGACTCTGTCTTTCGATTTCTCTGGTGGGAATGAATTATATTAGGTGTTACTGGTAAAAGCGTTGTCAAACACTGAATACCTGTATCATCTTCAATGGAATCCCATTGAGTTTATTCTGAGTACATTCTTGAACCTGTTTTGTTTATTTAAGGAGATCATTGGTCTTGGAAATAACTGAAACGTAATACGTGTTAAGAATCTAATTATTGGTAGTTGGTCGAGTTTCGGAATGGTAGAATGTAGTCACTTCACACTACGTTTTTAGAAGTGGAAAACGGTTAATTCGTTTTAATCGTCCGTCAATATATATATATATATATATATATATATATATCAGAAGGGTCTGTCACCAAATAATTATTCACAGGATGAATATTCTCAGGTTTGTCTGGATCCCTAATATTGTTTGGATTGGCTGCTTGAAATTAGTGTTTTATATAATAAGTAAAATATGAATATATCTTCTTCAAGGCACCTTAAAGCTCTGTAGGTAACCGTGGAATATGTCAACCTCTGTTCGCTATCTCACTGGTTTGTTCAGTCTTTTTGACGCCATTGCCTGGAGATTTCATGGATATCCAGGGCTTGACAACCGGTTGTCTGTAACGCCTATTTGATGAAAAACTCGAAGTCGGTGGGACCAGAAGTCAGTGACAGAGTTTGGGAAAGTATTTTAAAAATGGCCAACATGTTGACAAGTCCTCCGTCGGAAATAAGACTAGAGACTAAGTTCCATCATTTTATTGGACACATTAATAGAGCTCATAATATGTTCATTTCGAATACACAAGTGCCTAGTGATTTAACGCAAGCATGATCAGCTTGCTATGTGCGGATAATTTGTCTTGTTATATTTCATTCCTTACGTATGGCAGTCATTTCTCATTCTCGAAGAGGATATTATTTTGCAACGATTGATGTTGATTTGTAATGGTATTTGGTTCTCAACCACACAATCCTTAAAGACGAACATACTATAATTAAGAGAACTTACATTCGATGATTAGCACGATGGAGAAGGTCAAAAATGGTGAACATGGGAACATTGAGTCAGCATGGCGTTACTCGGGCATGCAGGTAGTTATTCTACACATCCTCGAAAACCTATGGTCTACTTCGTTATTACTACTATTATAATAATAAACCTAATTTTAAAATTGTAGATATGTCATGATGTTGTAGTGTCATTGAACCCTAACCAAACGACCTTTGAAACCGGGCCCATAGTTACTGAAAAGACTTATATCCACCAATTGGCACGAAGAGGTCAGCAATGGAGAAGGCGGGACGGAGTAATTCAGTTCATCGGATGGCATGTCTCAACTTGCAGGAGTGGTCATTCTTGTGTAGTTTATCCCTTTCATTCATGTTAAATATATTGTTCTATCTCTAGCCTTAATGTTTTGTCCAACAGATTGCGGTGATTATTACGATGGCGTGAGACCATGTAGACGATGATATGACTTCCATGTAAGATCTTATGAATTAGGTAACCACATCATGACAGATCTACAATTTTAGGATTAAGTCTATTATTAGAGCAGTACTAATGACAAAGTAGACCATGATACTACAATGCAACTGCCCAGTCTATAAGATCTTATGTGGAAATCATATCACTGTCTATTCTAGCCCAGAATGTCGTAACAATCCGCGATATAAAGTTCGTCGTTTGTAAAGAACACATTTAGGCCAAAGATAGAATAATACATTTAACCTGAGCCATGACATCCGAATGAATTGAATGAATGTTTCCGCGCTTACTATTGTTGGCCTTTCCTCCACGTTAAATGCTGAATATCTATTTTCTCAGTTGTCTCACGTTCAGCTTTGAAGATTGTGTGGTTATGACCAATACTACTACGACCTATTGCCTATCATATTAAATATATCATTTTCTTCCTAGACCAAACGTATTCTTCATACGACCTAAACAGCAATCAATTACTGCCACAATTGGACTAGTCGGTAAAGATTATCATATGACTTCCCTTATTTTCTCCCTTCACTTCTTCAAACTCCATTCGATATTTTTCTCAATTACACATAACCTGATCTATTGTTATTACTATTCTCTTTTTCAAATATGGCAAATATAATGCTAACATTATTGAAACTTTTGTATTATTGCATATCTGAAGAAACCCTAAATGGTTTCTTCACAACACTTATGTACCCATAAGATGTTTGTGAATAATAATATTAATAAGGTCTGGTATGTTAAGTAGTCACATTATTCAGAATCTACAGTTGTCGATTAAGTTTATTATTCCTGTAGAAAACAAGTTCACATTTAATACCGACCCAGATGTAATGACCGTATTTCCAGTATTCGGTCTGAATGTTGAACTAAGGAGCCAAAGTTAATTCGACCAGGCCAAACTACATTCTATATAGCATACGAAGAATTTTTGAGTGATTCGCACTAAATTATATCAAAACTCGAACCATATGTTCAATTTAAACACTTTGATAAAAATTCACTCACCTAGATTACAATTTATACAGGTCCATGAATGACTGACAAATCGACCAGAATGTATGCATTTGAAAGGTTATGATACCAACCATCAAACATTCATATACCTGGACTTTCACCAAAACAGAAGGAAGTGAGCCCAAGGAAACCAACTGCTTTATACAAACTTGTCCGTGGATATCATTTATTTGAAACTATAAATCTAAGCCACTCTTGTATTTGTTAACTTACTGCCTATGTAACATAAGCAACGTCTCTTTACTGCTAGTACAACTAGATTATATTCCATGATTAAGATTTTAGTGGAAAAACAAACATAAAAAACGTAAGTTATCGTCTCTCACCATACGCATGGGTTGTTCGATAATTAACTAGCAAGCCTGAAAAGATTCAGATAACTCAAATGACGAAATGGTTAAAATTCACTCCTTATTTTTGAAGTTCAGTCGATTGCGAATATCCCGGGAGCCTCAATACGTTATTTTGGAAGTACACCACCAATCAAAACCATTAAAATAACTTGTTGAGTGTATGGAAGCTTAGTTACATCAACACGATTGTGTCTGAGAAATAGCATGTGATCTATTAACAATTTTCTCACAATAGGAACGCTATTATTATGTACACGGTGGTTGTTTACGTCTAAATTCTGTAATAAATTGTGCCATTTGGTAAGTAACATGCATTGCTTAATAAATCTGTCCTTGTTGTATCATGTTATTATGGTTCAGTACGGCGTGCGACGTTATGGATTTAGGAACGAAAGCGATTGTGTTTCCCTACTACAGTATATTCTCTTTGGAACTGACAACAGTCTATTATGCTCAACACGTCAAACCTCGATTGCTAAGACAGGGAGAGGACAAAATTGTAGGTAATTTGATATATGTTATACAAAAAGCCACTCAAACAATATTGGTACCAAAGTTGTCACTATAGTAGCAGAATATGGCCTTCGATCATGTGGCAATTTAGCGAACTAAAAAAACATGATAACCAATCAGAGGGTAAAAGTCGTGAGGAAGATCCAACTAGTAGAAAGTATGCGAGTGATTGTCGTTCCGGAAGAGATCTTAACCCTTTTAATAAAGTCCACGTGAGCAATCCTTCATTTTCTAAGTGCTCTGACTTCATGGAGTTATAGCTAAACATGCGAGCGATCGTACGGGATTTAACGTGAAAATAAACTCACACCATAAATGAAAGTTCTGGGAAACTGTTTCTGAATCAGTTATTACAACTGTTTTTCTAATAGCATATCGAACGAAATAATAATGTGACAAACTATCGACAGAACTTTTAAACATAGATATTTACACCGGGAACTATCACTAAATGTAGACTTAGTAACCTATACCAGCCTATTAGCGTTCAACTTACATGAATGCCTAGGGATTAGATAATTACAACACAGACCTATTACTTTGTGGATGAAAAAATTGTTAGCTTGGACGCAAGCTTAAATGACGCAAATGATGAAGGTTGTGAATGCAACACATAAGGAAAATGAAACAAAGATTACAATAAGATATTACTAGAATGTGAGGGACAGTTAATGAGATCTTCGTATGAATTGGTGAAGACTTAAAACAAACTCTAATTAGAGTATAGCATTATGTATAACCATACAAAAAAGGGGCAAAATTTCGGAACCATTGGCCTTTTTAAAACACTTTTACTTACATGGATGACTACAGTCTAAGTCAGATTGTTCGATAACGAGCTTACCCCTCATTTTAATACTTGAGTTGTAGTCCATATACTTCCTTCTATAAGGTTTACATGGTGACTGCGGTGACATGACGCCTCCCCCAAAGGACCAGTCAAATAATTCTAATTTCTTTCTGGATATTGATCACGTAAGAACGCAGTCCCCATAAAATATTGAATAAACAACGTGAATGCAGGCAACAAAACCTGCTGAGATTAAATGAAATTAAAGATTTCATCAAAAATCCTTTATGTTTTTTCTCCGGGCTGTTTACAAACGATGGTGATCTAGAGACTTGAAGGATGTTACAATTAGTGTTCTCTCCGGAAGAGTTACGCGACATAATCTTCAAAGATGCCTTCCTGTAGCTGTGATTGGCATATTCTT